GTCCCCGGGGCAGCCAGTGGGGGTTCCCCCAGAGCCAGCAGCATAGAAACCAGCCAGGTACCCCCACTACGTCACACCCTGGCCCTAGCTCCTGCCCTTTGCCAGTCAGCCCCACGGAGCCGGGACGTCCTCCTTTCTCCCCTTCCCCCAGGCCCAGCATGGTGGGGCCAGCTGGGCCCAAAGGCTCCCTGCACCCCCTGCGGTGCTGGCTGGCAGCTTCTCTGCTTCCTCACAGTAATCAAGGTCACCACCTGCCTGCCCCTTCAGATGCCCCCACACGCTGCTGTAGGGCATTCAACCCGAGAGGTTGCAGGGCACCTGCAGTGAAGTCTGATGCCTCCTTGCAGAGCAAAAAAATGTACTATTAAATAGAAATACAGAAAATGTTTTTTTGGAATGAAACATGAACTCCCACCTCCAGGTGAATGCCAGGAGGGTGCCCGGCGCGCGCAACCAGCTCCTAAGCAAGCAAACAGCGGAGAGAAATGGGCTATCTCCAGTCTGCTCCCAGGACAGCGGCATGGGTGCTGGTCAGTGCGATTTTCAAACGTATGCCCCTCGTGTTAGAAACAGCGGCGTTTTGAGGTGGGGCGGGGGAGACTGGGAACAGAGATTTGAAAACTGGCCACAAGTTCTGAGTGTGCCACTTTCTGGCTGTGCTACATGAGTCCCTTGAAGCTGATTATCCGAGGAGCTAAGGACCCACAGCTCCTATGGGGATTGTTTTGCTTGGGGAATTTGCACAATGTGGAATGACAGGTGGGACGAATGGACTGTGAGGTGGCTAGAAAGCTGGCTGGATTGTCGGGCTCAACAGGTACTGATCAATGGCTCCATATCTGGCTGGCAGCTGGTAGCAAGCGGAGTGCCGGGGGTCAGTCCTGGGGCCGGCTTTGTTCAACATCGTCATTAATGAGCTGGCTGAGGGGATGGGTTGTACCCTCAGCAAGTTTGCAGAGGACACTGAGCTAGGGGAGAGGTAGATACGCTGGAGGGCAGGGACAGGGTTCAGAGTGACCTGGACAAAGTAGAGGTTTGGGCCAAAAGGAATCTGATGAGGTTCAACAAGGACAAGGGCAGAGTCCTGCCCTGGGAGGGAAGAATCCCAAGTGTTGTTACAGGCTGGGGACCGACTGGCTAAGCAGCAGTTCTGCAGGAAAGGGCCTGGGGATTCCAGTGGATGAGAAGCTGGATAGTCAACAGGGCGCCCTTGTAGCACAGAAAGCTAACGGCATATTGGGCTGCATTATTGGAGCATTGCCAGCCAATGGAGGGAAGTGATTATTCCCCTTTATCCGGCACTGGTGAGGCCACGTCTGGAGTTTTGCGTCATTTGGGGTCTCCACTACAGAAGGGGTGTGAACAAATTGGAGCGAGACCAGCGGAGAGCAACGGAAATCATTATGGGGCTGGGGCACATGACTAAGATGAAAGGATAAAGGAATCAGCTTGTTTAACCTGCAGAAGAGAAGAGCGAGGGGGGATTTGAGAGCAGCCTGCGACTCCCTGAAGGGGGTTCCAAAGAGGCTGGAGAGAGGCTGTTCTCAGTGGGGGCAGATGGCAGAACAAGGAGCAATGGGCTCAAGTTGCAGTGGGGGAGGTCTAGGTTGGATATTAGGAAAAACT